TTTAGTGTAAACACACAGTAGATAAAGGGAAACCTCTGTTCAGTTTTTGGATTTTGGTTTATTGTTGGCTGATCTGTCATTATGGAAACTGTATCATTTCAACAGTGACAGTTTATTATATTAACAAATAATATGTGTCAGAAAAAAATCCCAACAATTACAACAACAAAATTTCAACAATTATAACAAAGTTAGACGGTGCATAAATTCAGGAGCCCCAACAGAGATATTGCATCAACACTTCATTGAGCTTCATTTGCAAATATAATTCAAGACACCTCAGATAGCCTTTGATGAGTGTCTGGATCCTAGATGAAGGCATGTTTGATCCTCCTTCCATACAAAAAAGCAAAAAAGCATCAACAACCTGCTTCAAATCATCCCACAAATTCTCAATGACATCCATGTCAGGGGAATGTGGTGTTATTCTTCCACAGCACAGTGTCAGTCTGTCTCATCTAAATGAGCTTTTATACAACAAGCGATTCTGTTTGTGGTGTGAATTGAGAAAGGGCTTCTTTTCATTACCCTCCCATACATATGTACAAATACACATCTGCAGCAAGATGCTCTGCAGGGTTTTGGAGGTGATTCATTCTGACAGTGCGCTGCATATGCAGCTCCTGTAATTTTCTTGGCCTGACCTGAGTTCAACCACAGCTGTGCCTGTGCTCTTCTATTTCCTGATTACTGTCCTTATAGATAAAACTGAGTTCAAACCTCTGAGAGGTGTTTTTGCAGCCTTCCCCTGAACCACAGTACTGACAATCTTTGTTTTCAGAGTTTTTGAGAATTACTTTGAGAATCCAATGCTGTCACTGTTCAGTGTCAAAGAGAAGCACAACTTGAAAGTTTCCACCTTAAATACATTTTCTTATCATTGGACATGCTTGCCTATGAAGTTCAAGGCTTAACAAGCTAATCCAACTGATTTAGTGTTGCAATCAGTATTGAACAGTTCCATGCATTCAAATCAGTAAAATTACAGCGATACCCAAATTGTTGCACAGCCAGCTTTTACATCTAACTCCATTCTGTACGTCTAAATACTGCTTCACTAAAAAATAGATGTTTGTGAAACCCCCCAGTACTCAGATGTAGAAAACGAGGAGGAAATTTAATACATGCCACTGTTATCTTTTTGTTGAATGAAGAGTGAATTTTTATGCAGGGAGAGAGGTTCCCAGATGTTTTCATATGATTGTGCATTTCAAAACCTTTTAACACATAATTCAAAAACAGTTTTTGGTGATACAATATGAACAGATATGTATGTGTGCCTGCTGAAATTCTCACCATATAAATATGAAAACTGTCCATATTTATTATAAGTGCTTAACTTCAGAAAAATTAATTAAAGAGATAAAACGCTTGAATTGTCCCTTTTCGGTTTAAATCCTGACTGAACAGTCTCAACTTTACAGAGAAATCTCAACACTGGGTCCAGATCTGGTCCACGTTCTGCCTGATGTCTGATGTAGAGGATCAGCTCTGTTCCAGCTTTTCATTAAGACAAAAAGCACTGTTGTTTCACTTACATGCATGATTTCTTTGCTTTGAGTGATGGTGCTGTTGTCATAGGTTGACAGAAACAAGTAGAAACAAGAGGAAGTTTATTTTATTCTTTTATTGTTACGTTTGATTGGATTAACTGTGTGTGAAAAGATAAACACAAGAGTAAGACTATTGCAGATGTTCATTTCATGTAAGAGATGCTACAGTATCCTTATAAAAGTTGTGGTTATATTGAAATTCATAATTATTCTATAAATGATGACAGTAATAAGAAATGTGCTGTCAGATGTCAGAGTAAATGGGACCATTATTTGTTGTGGTTCAAGTTCATAAACTGAATTCAAAGTACACAGAGCGGAGTTGTGCCAACCCCAATAGTGAAGACTCAATCTGAAAGCGTTGCTCAGAAGACAGATAAACATGGACTTTATGAAAAATGAAAGAAAGCACTCACAAAATGTCAAAGCATGAGACTTTTTTCATGTCTTTTAATGTGCAGTTACAGGAAAATGATTCTATAATTAGCATCAGCTTCATCAGGACAAAGAGAAGACGAGATGCTGAGAGGAAAATGTAGGATTTGAGGGACCAGTTAAAGTTGATGAGGTTCATCTTTCCTTTATCAGCTTCCTAAATTTGTTTATTCAACTTTGTTTATTACTGTAATGTAAAGAAAATTTTATAATTTAAACTTTTTTGGATTATTATTTTTGTAAATAAGGAATTTGTATTTACCGAAGCAGATGATTTTACATTCCAGCATAAACCAACCAACAAGCCCATAAATATCCATCCAACTAACTAACTAACTAAAACAGACAAAAAAGAGCATGTGTAAATAATAATCAAGGAGCTCATTAAATGTCAGTTAAACACTTAAAAATGAGATGTGTTCTAAAACCTTTGACTGGTGATCTAAATAAGAATGACAGCTGTTTTACTACATTAAGAAATAAACTAATCTAAATAAATTGGGATATGGCAAAAGTAATTAGAAGAATATTTCCATTAAAAATATACTGATGTTTTCATTTCTCTCTGCTATTTGGAAAAGATGCTTCAGGCTGAGAAGATGAGGAATGAGGAAACTGACAGAAAACTCAAAGAGGTAAATCTTTTCACCCAAAGCAGTTTGCTGCTGTCATCTCTCTTTTATCTCTTTGTATACAATCCAAATTTGGAATTTCTTCACAAATATTAATTTTCCAGCACAAAAACATATTTAAGTTCATAGCTGT